TCCAATACGTAACAGATTATCCGCGGCCAATTATCGGTAAGTTATCGGCACCTAATCGACGATAATCGTAGGTAACGATGTTTCGACTGGCATTTGTCCTTTTTCTTAAAATGTAGGATCGAGGGACCAGAGGGTTTCTCGAAAACAGGCTGGTCATTAATATTTCCCGAGTGTTTGAAACGAGCAACACCCGATACCCACCACTTGGAACGTATAAGATTACAATCCTCTCTCTCGCTACGGTACCTGACTACCGTTAAATATATGTTTTACAACGTGTTCGGAACGCGCGATTCTCTTTGTCGCTCTTTCGAGTTCCTCGTCGCGAAGCGAGCAAAGAATCGTCGTCGTCGGCGGTGGTATAGAAAGGAGAACTGGTCGATTGAGAAGCGAACGCGTTATGTGTCCTGTCGACGGGACGATCCGGGCGAGATCGACTTTCAAGGTCGTCGAGTTTCCCGCGAGAATTCAATGCCAGGCATACGGGACATTGCCGTTGACTAACGAGCAATTAAATTTCGCGGTTTACGCACCACGCGAGCTGCGGTGAACCACATCCACCCGGTTGCGTTCCAAGATCGCGAGTCACGCGAGTCAATCGGATCGTTCCTTATGGCAGATCGATATCGAGGGCCGACACGATTTTCTCTGTCTCTGACAGTGTTAGAATAAATGGATTAAAATTTTTAATCCCATTGATTGATTGATTGATTGATTGATTGATTGATTGATTGATGGTTAAGATCGGATTTTAGTCGAAATTTAATTAACTTCTATTTGTATTAAGCGAAGACTGTCAACGAGTAAAACTGATTGATACTAGACCCCAGGGCAGATTTGAATATTAGTTGCACGATGAAGAGAATTTGAATAGGTCGTTTATGTAATTGGCAATTACACTGACGAATTTGTCAGAACAATTGAATAGACAGATTCTTAGGAGAGCAGCTACGTTGCATGCATTTCGTTCTTCGCGTGTTTCGTTCGAACATAATCGTTGATTATAATCGTACATCGGTCGTAGGAAAGTTTCATTCCTAATCACGATCGTTGAAGTATTTCCTAATCCTAATCGCCAACCGTTAATTGCATTAAACATTGTCCAATACTGGACATTTCTCGCGTATTTGCGTATAAAACTAAATGCCTCTAGGATTCACAGCAACCTATAAGAAAGAATTTCTCAAGACCAGAATCATCGGGGAATGAACAGAAAGCTCCTTCGACGCTACGTTTCACACCAAATGCCTCCTCAGTGTCCAATAAAACGAAGAAGCTCCGATCTTCTTTACACTCTTTATACTCTTCGATATACGCAGCAAATAATACATACTCTGAGAATAGCGTGCGGTTCTAAACGCACGCGGAACTCAACGAGGCGTCCGTGGCACGGCTGTTTAATGGCGACGATGGTGGCAGCGACGGCGTAAAACCGTCATTACCGCCAATTACAATAAATCCCGCACAGTATTCCGCTTATCGTTTTTCCACGCGGAGGCGCGGCTTAATCTATAATCCGGCCGATGTAACGGGTTCGCGATGCCTATGCGCAGCTCGAAAACCGAACAAGGACGGAGAGGAAGGAAAACGGAGAAGAGCAGAGGCTGGGTGGGTGCGTGCGTGCGTGCGTGGCGTGCACGCGGACACGGCCGATCATTTTCCTCGGCTACACTTTCACGACTGATGATCGGGTAGCGTTTCAGCGGCGATCGACTCTGTCGACTGGTCAGATTTACGCCACCCCGTGTGCGTACGTGCCACGGAACCACGCTGCCGGCCACTCTCGGCCCACTGCACGCTCTAATGCCAGTGCAAACGCGCCCACCTATTGCCTACCTGTGGCTATTGCCTCACGCGAACCAAACACACGCTTCCCATCGCATCGAGTCTCAGCCCTGGGGACAAGTGGAACGTACTTATCCACCACTTCCGGGACCTTTCGCCCTGTATCGCTGTAAGATAGCGAAAAAATTCGTGGTAAATGCATGGAAAACTTAAATTATCACTTTTTACTCTCGTATCTGTAGTGCTTTCCCTAGGTAAAATGTCTTATTGCAGGATATAAATCTTTTTGTATAATTGCAACGAATGTCCAGAGGTATTCAAAACATAATCTTCAGCCTTTAGCGCTTAGATATGGTACTGTGGAAAAATACAAAGATCGACAGCAATTATCTACGATCTTAGGTAAAATTTAGTAGTTAATCTCAATCGTAAACGTTCAGTTCAGTTGCTTCGACATTGAATGTCAAGGTTCACTGAATAGTTAACGAAATCCAGGGGTTGTTTTAATTACGAAGAAAAATCCACCGTCCAATGGAGAATCCTCGAAAGCTCGTTCGATTGTCAGTGCACGGCACTTCCAGAGTACACTCAATGATTTGTGGCGGGACGTGCACGACGCATCGTGGTCCGGATAAATCACGTCCGATATAATTAATGAGCACGAGCTACAATTCCCATACACACCTCTGGCGGGACCGCCTTAACAAGTACCTCGACGAAGTCAACCCAACCTAAAGCTAATCAGGTATACAACAGAGTGACACAAGCGAGAGTGACAGAGTGACAACAGGTCATGCCGACGACAGAATTATTCTACTCGCGGAGAAGTTATGTAGGTATCTAGGTGAGAGGCGCCGCGCATGTTCCCGTGTAACCACGACAATATTTCAGAAAAAATGCGCTCTGATCGCACTGTCGTCTAATAATCGGAGCACCGCCCGAACGCTATTATTCCCTATCGATTATCAAACGATTTGCATAGCGCGGAATGCCGTGTCCCTACCCACTTGCAATAAAAGAATTGGAAAGAACGACCGATGAAACGATTCCGAGAGACATTCTCTGGTCGGGGAGTATTGTGTATCGATGGTGATTGTTTCCGGGTGAAAGCGACGTGATTTTTAAAACGACTGCATTGTATGGGAGGGTTGGAATCTTTGTGAAAATGAAAGAGGCTTTGAGGGGCAGGTACTCTTTGCTGCGTAATTCTTAACTGTAAGTCTTTAACTGTTCTTTAAAAATCTACCTTTTTCCTTCTTTTTAATCGTAGCATCGCAAAAGCAAAACCAGGTTCGCGTCCAATAATAGCTCACGCCTTTTCGAACTTCCTAAAATTCCTACCCACATAAACTTGGCACAATATCCATAAAACATCCGGCAGCCTGCCCTAAATCAAACTTTTCGATAGCGCAACGAAGAAAAAGGAAACTAAAAGTCACGCAACCCTTCATCTTCGTTCCAAACTTCAATTACCACGGTCGCGTGGCATTTGCGAGCACGCTCATATTGTCACGTGGTTTACGACCGTTTTTCCACGATCACGAGCAGGCGTGCAACGCTATTGGAGCGCAGCGTGCGACGTGCAACATTATTGCACGCACCTTTCGGCACAGGCGCGGCGTCGTGAAACGCCCAACATCGCC